AATAAAGCTACTTTGAACACAATTATTTTAGTTCATAGAGAAAAGGGTACTTTCTAACTACTTTATGTTGCGTAGTTGTGTCTGGAGCAGGAAGTGAATGGTCAACCAATTAAAAAACATGTATTCATTTATTTTTAACATTAGCACTTACCGCTTTTAAAGAACTCCAGGTGAGCGTCTCTGTGATGCAGGAGCTCAACGTCATAATTGGCTGATGTGTTGGCATGCTGCTCTTCCTGTCCATCCGCAGAAACAATAACAAATACAGGTTAGTATCAGATCTTAAGAAGTGCAAACTAATACACAAAAACACACACAAACACACAGGTACAAACACACATTAACACTGCTGATTTCATGTAGCAAAGGGTAAATGATAATGGACAAAGTAAAAGAAAAAAGGCTCGCTCTCTGGGTGACTAAAGTATGTTTTCTTGTGACACTAGTGTTTAATGCATATGTCTTGAAATTCACACAACACTGAGCCTACACGTGTTTGACATAAATCAGGAATTCCCAATCTTACAAACCCAGCTTTATATAGTTTGTGCTCAAGCCCAAAAATGGGGCCTGGCAACAGCTGATTTAAACACAAACTTTAAGTCACACGCTTTGAATTTGACAACTTTCTACAACTTGGGGGTGGGGGAGCAGTTGTAGGACAGCTAAAGGTGGAATCATGTTTAAACATTTATGGGTCAGGCTAAAAAAAAACAAAAAAAACATCTAGTTTTTAGACAGCACAACGGACCACACCAAGAGACTAAAGGGGGCATGAGTGGGAACTGATGGGGGGGAACAGACCAGGAGAAATTTTGGACAACTTTTAAGGTGTAAACACCTGACAGACACTGACAGTATTTAACAACTCAGAAGAGGCAACGCTGGTCACAAATGTTTGGACATAAAAACACTTCAACGTTCATATTCTGTTTGTTTTTTTTATCAGAATTTGGCACTATCTCAAAACAGTTGATTTCCACAAAATAATGTGAGTTATTACACTATTAATTTGAAAAAAAAAGTTAAATTTCAGGTGTTCAGGCTCTCTAGCAGACCCCGAACTCTGCATTCCCTGTGTGTCCAACATGAGACCAGAGTTCCCTGCCCTTTACTGGAGCCTCACCAGCAAATCTGTAGAGCAAATGTCACATCAAAATAAATGAATGACACTGTAAGCCTGTTTCAACAATAGAGCTCAAAACATATACTGCATACTATGTGGTGTAAACTCTGAACCCTTCCTCACTTTGATGTGTGTGTGATAAGAGTACTAACCTGGTCGCAAACATTTAATGTGGGCTAGCAAAACAGAAAATACAGCATGAAACCAGCAGCAGATTCACAGTCATATCAACATGCAGATGAGATCAACAAAAAAGATGAGACTGCAAAGTTGCATGAGTAATTATAGGCGAGGAAGGGCGCATACATAAAGATTTAGCAGGCAAAAAAAAGGTGTGAAGGCTGTGAGAGAAAATAAAACAACAAAGCAATCAATCGAGTAAAAAAGTGGGAGTGGTTCACTGCATTCTAGACATGAACTAAACATTTTTTTTTACTAGCAAAATAAAAATAATATGTATTTAAAAATGTATGTGAGTTTTAATTTTGCAGTGGCATGTGCAAGGCCAGACGAAGGGCAATAGGCCCCTTACCTTCATGGGGATGTTTGTTATGGTGGTGGAGGCCAAGTCAAAGTGCTGCTGGACCAGAATGTTGAGTTTGGTGGCTAAGTGCCGCCCTGCACGAACACTGTGAACCTCGCTGGTGAGCAGAGGGGAGATCTGAGACGACAAGAGAGGAAGACGCAGTCAGAACTAACAGCTGTGACATCCAGCATTGAGGGTCATGTTTTCACATGACCTCGAGAATACGTCTACCTTTCTCTAATTCATTTGCTGTGTATTAATGACCCACACAGGGGAAACTGTGATGGACACCCACCTCCTTCTTTGGGCGGTCGGATACCAGCGTGTCCTCGCCCTGTGGGTGGATGTGAACTAGAACAAGGTCACATTGCTGGATTGCCATCAGCCTGAAACACACAACAATTAGTTAGAAATAAGAAAACACTCCCTTTTCAAAAGAATGGCTTCTGGATTCTAGCCAGAGAATTATCAATAGCATATTTGAGCCTATTCAACGAGTGCGATACATTTCTTCGCGCTTCATCCGATACTGACCTGTCTGAGCCTGCTGCCAGCTTGTTTTGTTCTAAAATGGTTTCCTGGATGCAGTCTTCCAACATGCGAACATGAGTATCACTGTATGACAAAACACAAAAGCAGCACTGCATTATAACACATACCCAGAGCTTCTTGCATGATATCAACTAGTAGACACGACAGCTTGAGAGATAGACAGAAAAGGGGGGAAGAGAGAGAGGGGAAGACACACAGCACAGGGCTACAGGCTGGATTCAAACCTATGGCCACTGCAGCAAGGACTCAGCCTTGGTAGATGGGTTGCCAGTTCTACAGGTGAGCTACCGTGGCGCCTCAACTCTATGGTAATTCTTAAGGCTGTTTTTGTATTGGATTGCCTCGTATTGTAAAGTGTTTGTAATATTTCTGATCATCTATATGAGTAAATGAGGTGAACAAGTGTTTAGCATTAAACATACAGATTGTAGCAGAATCCATCAACATCTAGCCAATGGCCGCTGTTGATTTTCCGCCGTGTTAATGACAGTGTTTACCTTTTAGCATTGGTTAGGCAGATAATACGCCCCCTATTGGCGACTCTCTCTGCCGTGTCCATCAGAGAGGTGCGCCTCTCGTGCTGCAACTCCGTGATCTTGCATAACGACTCCACCGCAGCAACCAGCCCGTGCAGGATGCTGCAACACTCGGGATCCTCGCGTGGGTTGGGTGGCCCAACAGCTGCCAGAGCCGACATTAGCTGCCGGAGAAGGGAAAAAAAAAAAAACTGCATAATCATTCTGCACCGACTTCTGCAAAAAACGTGGTCGCTGCTGTTCATTAGAAATGTTGAACTTCTCCATAATTCGGAAAAATTCGCGGCTGCTGAAACATCTTGAAAATGCTACACTGACTGTGTACTAACAAACCATACTGAGATTTATGTTATAGTTTTAACAGATTGTGCGAGTTTCTGTGTGCGGGGACTTACCTCATGAGTACTCTGGTCTTCCTGCCTCCAGCTGTTCAAGATGTGGAACTCTGAATCACTCACAATGTAATTAACCTGTCGAATAAAGAGGTGGCAGAAAAGTGGTGGTGTTGATGTCACTGGTGCACTGAAACTATGAGTTAAAAACAAAAGGGGAAAAGAAGACGCTAACCAGTTTGTCCCTTGGATAAATATCGTAGAGGATCCGGCAGTACTCCATGGAGCACTCCACAGCACAGGTCCACAGGGACTTGGACACAGGGGCCAAAGGAATAACCCCTTGAGCTCGACTCTTTGTCAGCACGTCACACTCCACCTGCTGGCGACTTGACTCTGCCATGTAGGGGCAGTGGTCCACCACGAAGACGGTCTTGTGAGACACAGAGAACATCTTCGTTTTGCACATCTGCACTGTGCACTGATCTGTAAGGGTAACAGCAAACACACCAACGTTAGACTCTGGGTGAATCAGTCCTGCTGAGTTAATAATGTTTTCTTTTTTAATTGCTGGTTCTAGGCCCAATGCATATTAAAATGTTGTTGTGTTCGCCTTAGTCATAACTGGGATGTTGCACAGTGCAAACACACAATGTCTTAACTCAATTTCCCTGTATTATACCTCGGTAAAATGAACAAAACACTGTAATTATAGTGTTATAAGGCGGTCAAACACATCTTATTGCAATATTTATTCCCTTTTTGAGCACTACAGCTATAACATACACGGTAACAGAGTCATTTGACGGTGGTGGACAGGGGACATCTCCACTGACAGACTCATGTTCAACATTTTATTTAATAAGCGGAACTCTTTCCCCGGTCAGAAAACGATCTAACCCAGCGGAAAACCGTGGTGGCTCTCTCGGGGCTCAAGTTAAGACTAAGTGGCAGACTATCTGACCACCAATCAGTCTCAGGACTCAAGTTATTTCACAACAAGTCCAAATACTCAGCAGGCTAACACGACTGACGCTGAAGGAGCATGACACCGACCGCTGCGTTAGCCTTTTTCAGTTTACACTGGTCGGAATAACGCATCGCCGGCGACACAAACACTCACCCATTGCGGCATTTGTGTTGTACAACGCTGTGTGTGTTCAGTTTGTCTCACCAGCTCATATTTCACACACTTGCGACGATTAGCACAAACAATACACTTAGCCGTGACAAGCTAACAGGTTTGTTATTGGCGGAAATATGTCCGGAGGTGTTCCGTCACCGTTTTTCTTCCCCTTAGATACCGCGCTGTTAAGTGGTACCTAGCTCCATTTTGTTCCGTGA